TGTTATTTTCTGATTGTTATACAGGCCATTAATGTCCTGGCTTTCAGGGCAGCGTAACACAAATCCTATGGAAATCAATGCAATATGTCCTCAGTATATTTATACACAAAATTTAAGACAATTTTTAGATGTCCAAATTGTTAGAAAGAAACATGCTTACTATCACGCCTTAGAAACGTAAATGTAATGGATGCCAGCTCTGGCATAGCGGGGTAGACTGATCCTTTTACATATGTAAGTTATTAACTTAGATGGCCGTTCAGGCATTCGCACATCCAAGACTCTGAATAGCATGGAGAAGTGTAACAACTGCCTGACATTTTAAGTCTTGCATCCATTTGCAGAGGAAATAAGGGACCGTGGAGGAAAAATTGGGCGTGTTATCTGAATGTCAGTAGTAGTACATGGCCATTTAGCTTCCCCAGAACCTTTGGACTGATACAGGCTTTCTCAGACTAAACCTCTCTCAGATGCAGTGCAAGCATGAAGGATTCTTGAGTGGAGGAGATTAAAACCCACATAAAATCATGGCAGATTTGTAGGCCCTGCATTTGGTCCTCTTGAACACTTCTGTTTGTAATCCTGTGGAGCTCCACAGTGTTTAGGATGGAGGAATTACCATAACTCTAGTCACAACCATTGGGATTGGCACACAGGTAATAGCTGGTCAGATCATAAAAAACATAGGTGCATTGCTGCTCTTTTTTGGAGTCCTAAATCCAAATGTCTTCTGATGCTTTCTCTTTCAAGCAAATAAATGCTGTGCCTCTACTCTGAGCTTTTGATCATAATTCACCGTGTCCTTTTAGAGCTGTCATTGAATAAATAATAGTTGAATATGTCTGACTTCTCTTTTGTACGTGAGCAAGTTCTGTATAACTCCAGTGATATGAATAAAATGACTCATATATCGCTGTTGTGTCACAAGGAAGTTAGCCTTAGTGATAGGAAAATCAGTAGGAGTCTGTGCCACAAGTGAACTGTAAAGATTATGTCTTGGTAATGTTACTCATCTTGAGTATGTTCCCTTACTGCACACATCAAATGTCTGCTTCATTAAGGAAAGCAGAATCTAACACTGAGTTAAAAGCCTTAGGATTTGGCCTAGGATTTTTAACTTTTAATTTGGCACTGTAATGGAACAATATGTGCTACTTGTTCTTATGCAATATGTGCCAAAAATTGTTTTGTCATATTCTTGTAGTTACCAAGTTTGTATTGTGCAATAAACTGTAAAAGTATTTTTAAAACAATACGGTGTTAATAAAGGCCATATTAATTGGATTCTCTGTGAGTTTTCTGCTAAATTGGTTGTACACTGCCGATTTTCAACAGCATATTTAAATACTAGCAAGTAGAAAAGATTTTTAGAAGTTAGTATTTTAATAAAACTTCAGAAATGTCTTTATGGTGCAATTTTACATTTCTGTTAAGTTCTACAGAAAATAAATGTTTTTGGTCTCATAAACTGCTCACATGGACGTAAGGGCTGTAATGGAAACGTCCAAAATAATGAGATTAACCACGAACTGCCAGTTACCTATCTCCTATTCATGTACAAGGGGATATTTGGCTGTACAGAATATTAGTAGAATATAAATATATCCAACACAATACGTACGTTTTACTGAAGGCAGAAAGTTGAGAGGATTCTGAAAATCATCATGTATGGGTTCAGTATATTTGTGGGCATATCCACATTCAATCTTTGTACCTATGAAAATGTAGGTGTTGATGGAACATGAGGATTTAAGTTAGACATATTTAGCAGAGGACCTGATACTCACACTTCATAGTGTTGATTAGCCAGCAGTTGATGTCACTAGGAAAAAACTTTCCTTGATAATCAAGTTATTTGCCGTGGACTTTTCTTAAAACTTTCCATGAAGCCCTTCATGCTAACAATTGTCACAGGCAAGGTTCAGGGCTAGCAAAACTAATCTAGCATGGCAATTCCTGTGTTCCCATGAAAAATGACAATTTGTATTGATAAGTCTCTGGAGTTCCCAGTTTCTGCATGGTGGTCTTCTTTAACATTCTCATTTGAAGGCACACTCTACAGGCATTTTTCAGTTACTTTCTAGTCATCCATGTTCCTTCACATGAGACAGATTCCACTTTCAGCATGTTTTATGTGGTTTTGTCAGTTAATTGCTGAGCTTACAAGAGTTTTAATAACTTAGAGGATGTGATACCAGTTTACACCCACTTAGGTAAATCTCATTTTGTGCTCTGGCCAACCTTCCAACCTCCAGTAGAGAGACCAGTAGACCAGCTAAGGATATTCTTTTCATGGAGGCTGATTCTGTTTTCTACAGTATAGGGAGGGCAGGCTGGAAGGGTCTGGCTCCTATGATCATATAGGTATGTAGCTCTGGTGCCAGCTGAAAGTTGGAGCAGGGGAGCAGAGTCCCACTTTGTTCTCTCCCTCCCCCCAGTCAGTGTGACTCTCCATCTTTCAGGGTACCATGTCCTGAAGGAAAGCAGGCTAAAGATGGAGGGCAAGGGTCTCTGGGTGAGGCCACATTTACAACACATTTACTGCAGTGGAGCAGTTGAGAGTCTCATCTGGCCGGCTTGCAACCGTAGCTGAGAACGGGGCTTTGTATGTACCACCCACACTCCTGCATTTTGTAACTTTACGTCATCTGTGGCAGATACTCTGAATATTAGCTGCAGAAATAGTAACTTCAGCCCAGGAAGATGTGTCATCAACTGTAGCAACAGTTTAGGATGGAGGAATTACCATAACTCTAGTCACAACCATTGGGATTGGCTCTGTGTTGGACCAGGACAATGAATGTAATAGAAAATCATGTTGTAATTAGATCTAGTTTTGAACAAAAGACAAATTATTTATTTTTCTTCAAATGAAGCATAACACTAAGGTATAAAGGGAGTATAAATAACATCTGATTGTGCTCCTAAGCTCCATGCTATAACTTTCTTGCAATGACATCCTTCAACAAATTAACTACATCATTACTGTTAAGTATTAATTGCACAAAACAGATACACAAAATATATAATGAGCTAGAAAGAGGACAACATTCTTCCATTATGACAAACAACTGTAACAAGAAATGGGAAAAAAAACCCAATAGATCTAGGCTTACACAGATGGCAACACTGAGAGTTTTAAGTCCTCTCCTTGAACACATTACATGTGATAAATAATATGCAAAATATTTAAAGAATTTTATTGTTGCTTACAGAAGATACTTAGCAAGCAAAGAGACAGTAGCAATCACTGCCTCATGTCTCATATCCCCATCATTCAATGCAAATTTTTACATTTCATGCAATAATCCTGAGCTTATTTTCAGTAACATTGAAATGTCATCTATATTAATTACCAAATACATACAGAGCCCAGATATGGGGTCTATTGTATTATTAAGGCATGAAAAAAGAATAACAGTTTATTAACTCTGAATGCCACAAATACAGCACAGCAGTTAGAAGGCTCAAAAAAGCTCAGAAAGTACCAGTGATTTCTGTGCCAAGGTCCTCCCAGAACATGACTGACTGTGAATCATCAGCTCCTGAAAAGGTACAGAATCAAATCCTGGCCTTGCTGACATCAGGGAGTTTTGCCATTGCCTTGACTGCTGGACCAAGCTTCAGAGCTATCGGGAGTGACTCGGACTCCTCTTCATATCCCCAAAAAATTGACAAACTTCCTCTCACTCAAGTCAAGTATGAGTTCAAAAAAACAATACCTACATATTGTTTTCTTAATTAGTATTTTAAGTGTATGGAAAGGTTCCATTCATTATACAGTATGGCAATTAATAGAAAGCCTGTTCTGAAAAAGCTTATTTGTTAGTCTGATTTATTAGTACATTAACAGAAGGGGGAAGTCTTCATGAAAAGAACCTCTGGCAAGTCTATGCTCTATTTATAAATTATTTTTTATTTTAAAATGAAAGACTTTGGTAAGCCAAACCAAGGCCATGTGATGCAGTTCTAGTCTCCATGGTTCAATGGCTCTTCTCAAAGACAAGGAGCACCGCACCCTGTCCAACCATCAAGTGAAGAACTTATCATCTCCATAAATTGTAGGGGGCTGCTAGTATCTGGATTGTGCAGTTCTTCACATAGTCTCTGTTTTACATCTAAGAAGCTCTTGATACATATGCACTACAGGAAAATGCCCTGTAGTGAGCCAAGGTATTCCAGTTCAGTTAACTAAGCCATTGAAACCAAGGCCAAATTGGTGGTAAGACTTACTTCATACTTAAAATTGCGTTATGTCCCACACTGGGAAATAAGATAGCAGATGGTCTCCTTTAACTCTACTACTACTATTGCCTGTCCCTTATGTAGATACTTGCCTAGTTGAGCTCAGAGTTTACAGATCCAGTAGCCTTATCTTTCATCTACAGGTGGCCCATGGTCTGCCATAGAAAGAATGCAAGAGGCACAAATTCTTTTATGCAGCCTTCGTGCATACTTCTTTCTGTGCCTGCACCACTTGCACACATGAGCCACCCCTTGACAAAGATGGTGGTGTCCAATTCTATCACTGCAAGGCTCTGAAAACTTTGCAGATGCACAAATCCAACTTAACTAATTTAATCTAAAACACCAATTTCTAATATTGAAAAAATGGTTCGTCACAATAAACCATTCAGGAAACTCATTACAGTCTCATTTGAGACAGAAGGGAAAAAAAAGGTTGCTGTTGATATTAGTTACTGGGTTAGAATTTGTGTGGTTTTTGGTTAACTTCTACTAATAAATAAGTTAAAGAAGGCTAAGGCTATAAATTGGTACTGTTCCATTTATAAATATTAACTTTATTTCTATTCTTTTCTAAAAAAACATGTTAAGGAGAAAGGTGGCCAGAAGGGTTATACATGTTGTAAATTGTAATTTGGTTGTTAGGCTGTAAAAACCAAACACGTAAGTGAAGTTGAGCACAGTGTAAGAAAAAGCCAGTTTTTAATTAACAACTTATTTACAAGTTTATAAAATCAACTGAACTGGAATAGGAGTTCTGTGTTTGTCACCAATATTTTATTGTAACTGGTAACTTGCACGCTTTATAGTAGAAGAACAGAAAGAGAATAAAGTTCACTATATACAGCCTTTGTACAGGCTACTTGACTATACACAAGGCATAGTGATCATAACACAACCTAGTCTTCATAATAATTTGTGCACAAAAGGACACCAATCAGACATTATGTGAACATTACAGTGAAATGACATCACAAGTCCAGTGAAAATTCAGCATAATACAAAACATATTGATCTACTGCAAATGACATCCTTTAAAACAATAAGCCTTTATTCAGTAGTAACTTAACCAGAGTCTGATGCAGAGATTTGTTGTGTAGTTATAAGTCTTTTAAGCGAAGCAACCTCTGCAGATAAGTTTGCTATGCCCTGCTTCAAATACAGGTTCTCTGACTCAGAGACATTGTAGATATTGTCTTTTATTTCAACAACTCCAGTTTTGCAACCACTCTGAATTTTTACATTGAGTTCCTTCTGATGCCAGAGTTCTGGTTTAAGTGACCAGTCTTGGATGTTAGTCACTTGAACCGAGAAAGGAGTGTGAGAAGAATGCACCAAGTTTTGTGCACCATGTTTTTCAAGCTCAAAATGTCTTTTTGAGGACATGTCAATGGGTGATGACAATTTCTGTGTTGCATCATAGTCATTATCCATTGCTTCCACCTTAACTTGCATGGCTTTGGCTTTAATTCGAAGCTTGTGAGGCAAAGCTGAAGAATTCACTTCTGGAACTTTAACTGTTGCATGAACATTTTTATGTTCAACTGGGGAATGGATTGGACCCTTAGGAACCTGTTGTTCATCTTCTCCATCAGATGACTTTCCAACTACACCATCATCAGTTTCTGATGTTCTGGGGGAGTTACTGGAGGACCTATTAACTTGCAAAAGAGGAGGAGAGTGTGAGTACACGTTAAAGGTAGCTCCCATGTAGTTTGGATATATGGATGCTTTGTATGAACCTCTATCATCTCTTGGCTCTCTCTCTAATTCCATGGGCTCCTGTTTTATAATCTGGAACTTATTTTCGGGACTTCTGCAGTTGCTTTGTATACGACTTGGTTGAGTATGCTCTACAGATGATATTTCAGACACATCGGACATTGAGCTTTGAGGAGAATGTTTAATGACAGAAATACAACTGCTACCAACTATAGATGGTTCGTGTTCATCTACAAATGAGTTAATATTTGATTTGGAACTCTGATAGTCTTGGAAATACACAGTTGTTGAGCTACTGAGCTTCTGTATCTCTTGGGCATAGGCTGCAGAACTAATTAAACCAAACTTTAGCTTCAACGAAAGAAGCTCCGCCTTCAGAGTGGCATTCTCCTCTCCCAGTGCAATTAGTTTATTCTCTAAGACAAGGTCATTCAGTCGTCGCTTTTCACGAGATCTTTTGGCCAGAGTGTGAGTACACGTTAAAGGTAGCTCCCATGTAGTTTGGATATATGGATGCTTTGTATGAACCTCTATCATCTCTTGGCTCTCTCTCTAATTCCATGGGCTCCTGTTTTATAATCTGGAACTTATTTTCGGGACTTCTGCAGTTGCTTTGTATACGACTTGGTTGAGTATGCTCTACAGATGATATTTCAGACACATCGGACATTGAGCTTTGAGGAGAATGTTTAATGACAGAAATACAACTGCTACCAACTATAGATGGTTCGTGTTCATCTACAAATGAGTTAATATTTGATTTGGAACTCTGATAGTCTTGGAAATACACAGTTGTTGAGCTACTGAGCTTCTGTATCTCTTGGGCATAGGCTGCAGAACTAATTAAACCAAACTTTAGCTTCAACGAAAGAAGCTCCGCCTTCAGAGTGGCATTCTCCTCTCCCAGTGCAATTAGTTTATTCTCTAAGACAAGGTCATTCAGTCGACGTTTTTCACGAGATCTTTTAGCAGCTTCATTATTTTTCCGCCTTTTCTCCCAATACATAGCATCTTTCTTTTCATCTGGAATGAATTCTCGCTTTCTCCGGCAAGCTGAAGATTTGCTTTTTCCACTACTTGCTTCAGTAAGTAGTATATCTTCATTTGTAGACAATTCTTCAGACACTTCCGCTAAAGTAGACTTAAGTACCATGATTTTGTCCACATTGCTACTTGTGTCAACAGGTCCGTGTTCCTTTTTAAGGGTCTGCATTTTCCTCAGCTGCATCAGAAACAATTTGTAGTAGATCTACAGTAAGCAACAGAGCAAGCTAACTCCCCAGTACTTCTCACTCCACAACTTAATAAATACAGTAATTTTAAATCCACACACATTCTTCCTTTTCTTTCATATTCTCAGAAGTGTCTAGAACCAATTTTCTTGAGAGAGACGGGAATCTTCTTAAAAACCTAGAATAAGTAGAAAATTTGATTACTATTTAGGAATTGCTGGCTCAGGACACACAAAAGTAGCTTTTGATAAAAAGCTTAGATTAGCATTTGGTTCATTAAACCTGCTGTAATATGAAGACAGCTCAACACTGAAACAACTGATATTCTAAGCTTTATGATACCTAGGTAGCAGATTTGCTTCCAAAACAAATACAATATGATCCAAGGAAAAGTCAATTTAAAAATATTTGCGTTTTGATCCTACAGTAATGTTGTCACAGAACTTTCCATGATATCACTGACCAACCTAAACCTCCAACACTTAACACTGCTGGACACCAGGCATGTTGATGAACAGCAGGAAAGTATCCCGTTCTTCCACATTAAAGCACCTCTTCTGAAAACAGCTGTGGTGTGTGACTTAGAAATGCTATATATTTGGGTCCTTCATAGATTAAAAATAACATAAGCTGATTTAGAGAAGCTGGAGTGCTTTCCATTGTCTTAAAATAACACCACTATCCATTAAAGCTATTAAAGATTCAATTATTGGTTTTGCCTACTATAAAAAAAATATATATACAGATATATATTTCTCTATACAAACGTTTATACACACACACGCGCTTGGAATTTTAAAATGCCTTATTGATCAATCATATCAATTCAAACTAGTAAATGCACACACATAATTGGGACAAACACCTAACTTAAAAAAAAATAAAAAGAAAACAGATCACATAATTTTTTTTCTTGTGTCTTGCAAAGAAAACTTTAAAATCAGTGTTGAAAAATACATTAAAGAAATAACATTTAGTTATAATTTGCATTTGAAAAATAGTCTTAATACCATTAAGCTTAATACCATTGAGGCATGTGCACCTTTGGAAAACTGTGCTTGCATTTAAGTGGAAGTTTAGATCTAAAAGTCTTACCATTAACAAAGGAAAACTATCTTAATCTTTAGCTGTAGGCATTTTAATCATTAAATTTGAACTTAGCATTTAAATTGGCCTTTGTTTTATTTAGTCCCTCTTAATGCAAAAATACTTTATTCTCATAAGATCATTTGGTCTTGATCCGAGATATAGCTTCTCAATATCTCATTTTTCACAGTCAGTCATGTTCCTGGTAAAATAAATGTAGTATGCCAAGTGCTTTTTTAGAATTTACTACCAAGTCAGCAATGATTCTTGCCTGTATAACAAAAACAAAAAAAAGCCCCAACCAAAATCAGCCACACCAGATTAATGTCACTATTTACTGGGAATGTTTTTACAATGACTAATGAAACTAATTTTAACATTATCAGTTGGGAAAGTTATAAAAGAATTAATGAATTGTATTCCGCCAGTTTCTCTTGTCTTTTCCAGAAGGCAAAGAGTAGTGAGTGATGTAATAACAATTAAGCAGGGTCATAAAGACTCAGGTTTCAAGCTGGGTTCTGTTCCATCAAACCATGCCAACTCTTCTGTCATGAAAAATTAACACATTTAATAGAACAGCTAAGTAGAATTTCCTAAAATCCATGGTTAATTACTGACATGTAACTATTTGTCTTTGATAATACAGCCTTAATGGAAAATAGTTAGAAGCCAGCCACACCAAAGACAGCATCTAACATTTTAGTGCAAAAGCAGCACCACAAATTGCCATGTTTGTAAAGGAGAAATGTATCTCTAATACACAGGTAATTACATACTTAGATCCCGATCCAAAATTCAAACTAGAGTCAAAGGGAGTTTTCTGTCAAGTTAAATAGGAGCTGGATCAGGTTTAAAAGCAAAAATAAGCCCCACAACATAGCAACATCAGTTTGTCCAAACATTCAGTATAATTTGATTTGCTGAAGAAACTGTATAGCCATTCTGTCCATTTCACTGCTACATGTAATCAGTGTTTTAATTAATATGCGTACCTTTTTAAATCTAGTGCAAACCAATATTTAAAAAAAAAATTGTTGAACACACAAATTAAAAATGGAAAAAGATAACACAAGGCCACCTGAATTTTTGTGGCATTCATAGAATACTCAATCTCTGTAACATGACTTTACGTTAAAAGAAGAAAAATGCTGGGATTTTATTTCATTAACCTGTAGCATTCAGAACGCACAGCTATTGATCTGTAATTGTCTTGATATACTACAGTCACTGTGTTCACTTGTATCATTAACAGCTTCTGTGTTCTGAGGAAATGATGCACCTTCTATGGCACAAAGCAGGAAGCAGTATAACATGTACTGAATACCTATGAAATCATCACTTTTTTTAGTATGCATCTCAGCCAATTCTCACTGAAGTCAAAAGAGTTCAAAACAACTTTTGTGAAATTTCAGGGCCTTACCAATGCAGAGGTCTTACTGAATTTAACAGTGCTAGAGAGCTACACTCAAACCCAAATAAAGATTATTTATTCTCTTAGAAAAAGGATACTAATATGCATATAACGTTATTTTCTATATATTTATCTGCCATATGCCCTGGAACATCAACACTTAGTTGAAAGCGTAGCAATAGCAAGGAAGTACTTATAAACATAGGATCTGTACATACTTTAGAGAATGAAAATATACCTACACAAATTTAATACGTTTTTTTTTCCCCCCCCTCTTATATTCCAATCTTCCATTTGCAAATGATAGAGAAGCAATATGTTTTAGTCTTGAACAAGACTGTTTCACAGTAAGAACTATGACTTTGTATCTATCTGTATGGTCTCCAGCTCAAAGTGATCCCACGCTGGTGACTGTCCAATGCTGCAATCTAGGAAAAACACCACCACTACTACTACTACTACTACTACTACTACTACTACTACTACTACTACTACTACAGGAAGGATGGAAGGACGGAAGAAAGAAAGAAGGACGGAAGAAAGAAAGAAGGACAGAAGGAAGAAGGACGGAAGGAAGAAAGAAGGAAGGAAGGAAGGAAGAAAGAAAGAAGCAGCAGCAGCAAAAAGTTGTTGCTTTGGGATTTTTTCCTAAATGAATGTACATGGATGGCATAGTTCATCAGTATGCCCATCGATGTATCAGTAAAAACTCAACTGCATGTCCAAACAATGGCACTGAGCTGCACTTAGCAACCCAGCAACCTGCAGAGTTCATGCCCCTTGTTCCACCGGACTTCTGCAATTCGGGCTATTCCAGCGTACAGTCTGCTTGCTGTAGGACTGATAACTCCTGTTTTGGCCAGTCCTCCCTCCTGTACACATTGTTCTTGGCACAAACAGACAGAACGTAAGTAGCATGCAAGTCTATAGCAAATATTGTGTGTATCAAAACAACCATGTTTTTGCGTGCAGTATTCAACTTTACTCTCTGCCACAGTCCATCAGTAAAGCTGTCAAGATAGACATGTAATCTACAGACATAGTCTTACTGGTTTGCTATTTATGTAGTTACTTCTAATGCCATTACTTTAGTGAACTAACAAAACAACAATAAATCTTTAGCTCTTTCCACATCTTCCTGGAGCATTTCTATCATGGTAACTGGAATTGCTGCTTTACAAACAGGAGTCAAAGCCCTTGTTTATTAATATTTCTCCATGTGGATCAGCCCAATGCTGAGTCTGTAAACAAATTAAATTCCATCTGATGATAATGGCAAAATGCCTTCAATGAAACCAGCCATTTCACTTTGCTTGCATTTTATAATTCCACTGCAAAACATCAGTATTTACACATAAATTAATGAACTGTAATGATTCCTCTGACTATATTTCAAATTCCAATATTTTCCCTTATGATTAATTTTTCAATTGCTTTATCACTCCCTCATAAAGTGTTATAAAACCAACATTTAATACTGCCTTACATTAGTCACTGTTAAAGATTTTTTTTTTTTAGTTGGTTGATGTTAATGGCATTGAGTGCCAATTCGACAATGTAATAACACTCGACCCTATTAACTTAATTACAGACCCAGTCTTGCTCCCACAGCAATTTTGCCATTGGCTTCAATAGAAGCAGGATACAATCCCAGATCCAAATATTAATGAGGCTGTTGTATAGAACTCATGCTACTGAAGCAAGAAATTATGTATGCAGAAATCATGAAAAGTTAATTTATCCATGGACTTCAAAAAATCCTTAAGTGATCTTATTGTATCAAAATATATATTAAGGATCTGATCCCAGGGAGTTGTGTATTCACACTGTAATAATTGAAATGTTTCAAAAGGTTGAAGGACAGGACCACAATCTTTCCTCTCTCTCTCTTCTGCGTGATTTAATTGCATAAGTCATTTCTCCTTTAGAGAATGCACATGGGCCTCCCCATGTCTGTATGTTTCCCCGCAGAGTAACTGCGTGTTACTATTTGTATTTAGCAAAATAATTCATGCTACGTCCAAGCATAATTTTTCAAACATATCCTAGAATGAGATAACTAATAGTTTAATTCTATTGAGTATAATATTCTATTACATTTAATACTATTCTCTCTACAACTACCTGAAAGGGGGTTGTGGTGAGGTGGGTGTTGGTCTCTTCTCCCAAGTAACTAGTAAGAGGATGAGAGAAAATGGCCTCAAGTTGCACCAGGGGAGGTTTGGTTTAGATTCGATATTAGGAAAAATTTCTTTATGGAGAGAGTGGTCAAGCGCTGGAACAAGGATGTGGTGGAGTCACTATCACGGGAAGTGTTCAAAAAAGGTGTGGATGTGGCGCTCCGGGACATGGGTTAGTGGGCATGGTGGTGTTGGGTTGATGGTTGGACTTTAGGTCTTTTCCAACCTTAATGATTCTGTGATATTGCTCTAACATTTTGAGAGTGATTCTATGAAATTGAATGAGATCCCATTTCTAGCAGTTGGATGCTCAAACACAATTCAATTCTGTACTGCCATGTGGCCAAAAAGTTTCTCTCTCAGTCCATCAGAAATGTAAGAAAATAACAGCTAAGTACAACTTCTTGTTTTAAAAAAGAACCATGCCTCTATCCCCATCACCGCTATATGGCAAACTGCAGAAAAAACAATAAAAGCTCATACTGATATGTGTC